CATAACAGCATTTTAAGATTTAGATTAATAAGAAAATGTTCACATGCCTTCCACCACCTTCTACATCTCAAACAAGCACCCCCAACTCTGAGGTCTGAACTGCAGATATCAAATTTAAGTCTTAAATCATCTTGATTTCTTTTTAAGTCTTCTTCCCTTATGTAGCTTTATTCACCAAACTACCATGAGGACCACTGTATCCTTAAAATTTAGTATAATGCTTTGGAGACAGCAGGAGGGAGAAAAGTAAAAAGAAAAGGGGAAAGGAGGAAGTGGCAGTAGCTAGGAAAAAAAACCATGGGCACCTAGGTTGAATATTACTCAGCCAAGGTCAAACTGTCCAGGCAGATCTCCAGTCTATGAGGGCTAGAATAAAGGACATCCAATACAGAAAAAAAATATTCCAACAGTTGGCAATACTACCTAAAAATGCTGTGTATCCTGTGTAACCAATGATAGGCCCCCAACCTCATGAATCAAAACTAAAAGTTCCAAAAAATTGATGGCATCCACAAGTACATTAACAAACTGTTCTGAACATCCAGGTTTCACCCATGTGAAGTTGACATTTCACATTATTATTTAAAAAGGTTTAAAAAAAAAAAAAAAAGTCAAGAAAAGCTAGTAAAGGTACAAAGAAATAAAGGGCTCAATTGCATATCAGCTTTGTATTTATATTACTCATGGCAATTTTGACAAGTCTTGTCTTTATATCCAACTCCACATTCTGCAAAACCAGAGCAAAGTATGAAACACAGGCTCAGCTAAAGAAAGCAAGATGTGCTATAGGGTGGCCACTGTACAACAGCACAGAGGTGCTGTGGCACAAAATGGGTATGGAAGTTTAAAACTGGGGGGGATTAAATAAATAATGCTGTCAGTCAAGAGTAGGATCTAAAAGGAGAGTTACAAAGGCATCCAGGCTGGGAAGAGAAAAGGGTACTTCTATCTAAGATTGAGGCATACTGACCAAACCGTATATAAGTGTTCAAGAGCCAAGTTAGGGAACACTGTATTCCACTCCTAAAACAGCAATAGGTAGGGGCAAACTGACTCTGCCTGAATTTAATTTAACTTGCATATGATTAGCTCTTGACCTCATATCCATCTATTTAAAGCTTTCTCCTTTACCAGAGTATCAAAGCTATTCAATTGGTCAAAAGTATTTAAGACCATTTTAAACTATTTTGACTAGAATATTAATAAAAATTTACCTCCAAAAAGCAGTAAAACCGTCAATAAGCTTGTCCAACTCAACCCAGAACAATTATAAAAAGAAGCTACTACTACGTAATGAAAATCTGGTAATCAAAATTTGGTGACAATTGTATGAGACTATGGTTCTTACTAGATACGTGCAATCTCAAAAGTCACTCCGGTAACCGGCACTATTTGACTACCTAGATACTTGCGTGATGGCCCTACCTAAGCATTCCAGTCACTGATCCCACAGAGAAGCCTAAACATCATAGAAATAAATCCTATTGTGGTCAAGTCAAAAACACACTGATGATAGAGAAACCAATACTGCCAAATCCATTTCTTATGCTAAAAAGCTTTAGACTCCAAAAAAAATCATTCATTCAGTACTTTTCACAAGTACCAAATTTCACTGAACTAGTTTTCGAGATATATTTTAATTAAAAAGCTATGTTAAAACTAATCATACCCCTTCCGGAGATCTGACCATACCTCATATCAGAATTTGAGATTTACATAGACCAGCTATAAACTCCCCCCAAAATGCCCTATAAATTTCAAATTACAGGGAAATCAAGCAAGCAGTATGGAAACCATCTGAATTCATTACATATTATACCAGACAGCAACCTGTCAAGCTGCTAAAGTAGCAATAGGAACTGTGCAGTTAAAAAAAAATCCTATAAAGGGCCCTTCAAGAAGAGCATCCATTGTCATTTAGCTCTGCATGGTAGCTGGTTTACTTAAAGCTGACCTAAAAAAAAAAAAAAAGGGGGGGGGGGGGGGGGGTAAATGGGGTCCTACTTTTCTTTTCAATATTGTATAAAGGCAGCATGAACCAACTGGTTTCTGCATATTTTTACCTGGGGGAAATGGGGGAGGGGGGTTAAGTCTTCTTTTCTGCTTTTCCTGGAAGACTCTATGGACAAATAGAGAACCAGCAGGACCAAGACACCATGGGTGAACCCAAATGAACTGACAGAATAAATTATGTACAGGTTTCCCTCACTTTATGCGGGTTCTGTATGTGTGATTCGCTCTTATGTGATGACCCTTTTTATACCACAATTTTGTTATAAGCGAGGTAAATTCACTCTTATGCATCGGGATGGTGGAAGCCTGCAGTCGGCTGTTTTGTACGGTGCACTGAGAGAGTGACACGCACCAAAATATATAGTCTCTTATGTGGATCTGTGCTCCTCACTCAGTCTGCAACATGTGTTTCTCTAGTTGCCATCCCCATTACATTAGTGCCCTGTGCTTGTGTGCACTGTCTGCTGTTGGCAAGTACCAAAATTGTCTTGTAAAAGTGGGGTCTGGGGGGCAGTACAGTCAAGGTCTTGGAACATATCCCTATTTGTAACATGGTAAAGTGGGTTCCCTTTATGCGAATTCGAATTATGCACCATGGGTAATATTCCTTTGGTAAAATAAAAACAACTAAATGGCCTTCAACATATCTTTGTGTCTGATAAGACACCATGCCCTCCCCCCCATGACAGATGATTTTTTAATCATTCCAACATAAGGAACTGATGCCTTCACACTGGAAACCAACCTTCATGGGCCACCCTGGGAATGGAAAGATAAATAAGTGCAGATTGCACCAGGAATCCAGGTCTTACCAGTCTCAAAGCTCGTAGAAGTTTATTTAAAGATCAATGCCCAAATTTACATTGTTAAAGACAAGCTTAGCTGTTTCTATCAAAAAGCTGATGCAACTGGACATCAAGAGGATTTATGGAGTACCCAAGTCCAAAGGTTTCCTACAAATACTTGATCTTGAGTACTGGCATCCGCATGTGGTCTCACTCTCTGAGAATTATGGAGCAGTAGGTCATATCCTTACATACAAGGTGTTTTCATGACACTGTCCAGAAATCACATTAGATTTATAACAAAGTAACGTGTAATTTTTTAAAAATATAATATATATATTCTAGGCACCTACAGTTTACTGAAGTAATCCAGCTTTATTCGGCTTTCTTCAAAGGTGTTAAGCAAAATGTAGCTATCAAGGGATATGACTGACCACCAGTGAACACCCTCTTTTTTCCCCTGATTTTTCACAGTAGTTCTTTCAGCAGAAGAACAAGGCTGTCACTTTCCCTCTTCTGGGGAAAGCAGGGCAAGTGCACTAGTGAGATAAAAAAGGAGCACACAGCTACATGCAGCTGAAGCTGTGGCAGCATCCCATAAAACCCTACCTAGTTTTCTGGGTTAAAAAAAAAACCCAACAACAATACTTCCATCATATGAAAAACTTATTTGGATGCAATCAGCTTAAAAAAGGAAAGTTTCAGGCACAGTTAAAGATTAACTTCAGTGAGGGTAAAAGGTATGGCACATTAACCCCGCCCCAAAAGATCAAAACCCATCTGAGCACAAAGCACACTGGAGTACAGGCAACAAAGGGAGACTCCTGACTTCCCACAAGCCCAGCCAGCCTGCAAACACTCCCGCTGGAGAGGAGCTTGGCCTCCATCCTCTGCTCATCCATTGGTGCTGAGACCAGTTGAAAGGCCCCACAGAGCAAGTGGGCACCTACTTGCTAGGATACAGTCTGAAAGCACAGATCTGCCTTCTCCAAAACCACAAATGTGGCAGTTACGCTCTCATGGGTCAAGCCTGTTCCCATCAGCA